GTAGTTTGACATTGTCGTTTGATAGGTTGTGGTGTTTCGTTCGAATTCTGTGGTATTGGATAGGTCGTCATCCTGACTTGTAGTGTCTTGGGCATAGTGAGGACGTTCTTCTAAAGGAATGTCTTCATAGATCTGGGAAAGAGCGTCAGCTAAATATTTTTTGCTGCCCTCTTCGTAGATTATCTTTGTGTCGTATTTGCTGAGTTCCGTTATCCATCTAATTTGTGTCCTGCTAGGTTGCTTCATGGTCTTCAGGAATATTAATGGGCAGTGGTTTGTGACAATCGTGAACTTTCTTCCCATCAATATGTGGCTGAAACTGTGTAAGGCGTCCACTATGGCTAGTGCTTCCTTGTCGGTTGTTCCGTAATTTAGTTGTGGATTAGTGAATTTTCAGCTATGGAGCATTGCCGGTCTCGCTGTTTCGCATGTGGGTCCTTGTCCAACTCAAGCTCCTACTCCAACATCTGATGCGTCTGTTATTAGCCATATTGGTTCCCCTGAATCCTTCAGGGGTTGCATGACTGCATGTTCCTTCAGTAGGCGCTTAATGTTTTTAAATGCCTTATCGTGTGTCGGTGTCCATACCCATTCAGCTCCTCCCGTTAGGTCGGAAAGTGGAGTAGCGAATGTGGCGTGGTAGGGCAGAAACTGTGCCACATAGTTCAGTAATCCCAGGAACCGTTGTAGCTCCTTTTTATTTGTTGGTGTCATCCATTCTTCCAAGGCTCGTATTTTTTCTGGTGCCGCATGTATTCCATTATCATAGATAATGTGGTCTAAAATATCTAATTCCTTTGCAAACAGTTCTGATTTTCCTTTGCTTGCATAGTACTTAGCTTCGTGCAGCTTTTTGCATACTAGTCAGAGATGTTTCTCGTGATCCTTTGCTGTATCCGAGAATACTAGGATATCATCAATGTATACCCACACGAAATCATGTAGGTATTCACCCAATAGGTCCTCCATTATGCACATGAAGGTGGCGGGGGCATTCTTGTCCCCTTGCAGCATTACTCTGCTTATCATTGTTCTGAATGGTGATTTGAGCGAGTTATTTTTCTCATCCCTAGAGTCTACTCTTGTTTGGAAGTATGCGTCGCGCAGGTCAATCTTACTTCTGTACTTCCTTCTTCCTACCGCATTTAAAATGTCTTATTACCATGATATTGAGGGCGTATCCTTGATTATTAATTCGTTGCGTCGCTTGAGGTCAACCAGGGGTCTGATACCCACTCCGTCCTTCTTGGGTTGCACAAACATAGGGGCTGCTCCCATTACCGCTTCTCGGTAAAGGATGCCCTGGTTTAGCTTCGTTTGGATCCATTCATGCAGCTTGGATTTGTATGCCTCAGGGACCGAGTAAGTTGGCTCATCCTTGATTTGCGCTCCAGGGGTAAGCTGCACTCGGTGGTTGATTTTTCGTAGCGGCGGTAGTCCGTCCGCTATTTTGTCCGGGAAAACATCGTCATATTCTTCCATTATTGTTTGGTCACTTTCTGCTACCGCTGACCTATGTTCCCCACTTGTTGGCTTGCAAGATACCTTTACCTTCTGTTTAGGAAAGGTGATTGTCATGTCGCCACAGCCGATAGTTGCCTTGTGACATGTCATAAATGGCATACCGAGTAATGCATCATATTTTGCCACGTTTCCGACCAACATGGGGTTGTTTGGGAATTTCGCCTTTCCTATCTGCACTGTGGTGTTTATCTGACTGTCGCTTGTTGATCGTGATCCTTTCATGGCCATGTTGAGCATTACTGGGTACTTGGTGGGCTGGGTATTTATGCCGTGTGTGCTTACAAATGTGTTGCTGAGGATATCAGATCCTATCATTCCGGTATCGAACAGGACCTTCGCTGGGAACCCATTAATTTCTACCGTTCCTTCTAATGATTGGAAGGGGAGTATTTTTGTATTTGCCGGGGTGGTTTTATAGCAGTCAATCATTGCCGTTACCGAGTTGATGTGTACCTCTTCAAGGTAATCGCCTATTTCTTCTTCAAGGATGCTTGTAGTAACTTCCTTTTTCACAGATTTGCCTTTGTTTTTCTTCGCATAGCAATCCTTTGCGTAATGGCCTTTCTTTCCACAATCGAAACACTCATTGTTTTCCTTTCGCTGCCGTTGCCGCTGGTTGCCCTTGGTTGTCGTCCTCTCCTTTTTCTGCTTACTTGCAGACGTGTTGTGTAGTTTTTCTATTGCTCTGTTCTGTTGGGATTGTTTTCGGTAAGCTCCTTCGTCCTACAGGATAGCATCGTGCCGTTCTGGCCTTTTGATTATTGTGTTTATATCATCAGTTGGTAACTCCTGTGGTTCCACTACCTGGCGCAGTTTCAAGTGCATGGCTTCGTAGAATTGTTTCTTTAAGGAGAATTTTGATATCGTTCCTGCTGGGAGTCGGGAGTGGTACATGAGCAGTGTGGTAGCGGTTTTGGTAATTTTTTCCGTATTGTGGTTGACCACTTGGGATATTCCATTGAATTTTTCGAATAGTTCATCCTTGTTCTGTGATGACTGAAACTGATCTTGTAGATAGCCGGATACCGTTATTGCTCTGACCCTGTCTGGTTCTTGATAATCTTTTATACATTGTTGGTAGGCTTCTATAGCCTCATCCGTGCAAAATGCTCCTAAGTAAACTCCTGATCCATAATCGGTCATGGATATCCCATATATAGTAAGGTACTGTCGTACACTAGTAAGCCATTTATCGAAGGCTTCTGGTCTTAGGTCTTCCCCTTTTCCTGAGAATGACTTAGGTTGCGGGATTTTTATTTTTGGTCTTTCATTTGCTGGCGGGTCGGGTAGTGGTGGCCCAGGGCCGGGTATTACACTACTAGACATGCTGTGTTCCCTATCTGATGAGTTGCTTGGTGGGGGAGGGGGCGGCGATGGTGGTGGTAGGGGTTGCGGTTTGCGTTCCTTCGCAGGTGATTCCGGGAATTCACCAGGTGTGGCGCCTTTCTTTCCTTTTCTTTGGGTTAGGCCTTCTCGTGGGACTTGTTTCCTGCTCCGAGTTGTAAGTGGATCTATGTCGCACTATTTGTGGTGCAGGAGCCAACCCCGAGGTCTGCCACTTCTGCTGGTACCATTCGCTAAGTTGAATCTTCATAGGTTGATCAGGCCCAGATTCATTGTGGTGTTCTAACCACTCGCTGAGGTTAAAAAAATGTAACGTGTTCACGCCGGGGCGCTAGTCACGCTGCTGTGTACAATAGGAGCTGAGTGTTTCTCTACCAGAGAGTAACAGTTTGGGCTCGCTAAGGGAGGCTTCAGTGGTGTACTAGGAGAATAGAGATAACCGTTCAACCGAGTATATTAGAATACTATTTGTCGAAGTCTGTCATTTCCAAAGCGGAAAACGGCGGTCTTTTTAAGTACATGTGTTTGAGTACGATCATGAATTCTCACTCATGTTCTTACTCAATCAAAAACATAGAAATAACCAACTATCAACCGATACTTAAAACAAAACATAAAAGAAACTAAGTATCAACCGATACTTAAAACAAAACATAAAACAAACTAAGTATCAACCGATACTTAAAACAAAATATAAAACAAACTAAGTATCAACCGATACTTAAAACAAAACATAAAACAAACTAACTTTAACCGAGTACCAGCTCCGGTTACAAGTAAGCTGACAGCTGACTTTGAGGGAGCAATACTTAACTGGTTAATATTTAACTGCCGAAACTTACAACTCCATCCCAATGATTCGATATACCTCAGAGAACCAGAGCTGGGCACTTCAGTTAGTGTAGGACGATACCAATTACAAAATATTTATAATATAGTTCAAACGCCTATTCTATTTGAATACCTAGAGGGACGAACCTGCAATCAAATTGGCAACAAAACTATCTGGCTTCAGTCAAGTAAGTCAGGATAGGATAAAAGACAAGGAACGGTCCAACTTACCGTCTTTGTGGATGGTATTCCACGAGTGAAACCTTTAATTTTCTTTTGAGGGTTGGGGAAGGGAGCAACTGTTCTGGCAGAACAACAGCAATACGATACTCACGTTATCGTAAAGTTCAATCCTACTACATATGCCAACTCAGGCAATATGCTCGAGTGACTTGATGAGCAGCTTATTCCTACCCCTGAATGTCAGCCGACACTGTTTGCAATTGACCTCTTCTCAGGGCACAAAATGGAGGAGGTACTTGATACCTTTTATGTCCACGATATTACGCCGAGTGTAATACCTGGGGGTTGTACTGGCTTAGTCCAACCCCTTGATATCTCCATTAATTGACAGTTCAAGGACCTATTAAGAGTTAGTTCTATTCATATTATTACAGGAGAGAAAGACTTAACTAACATGAATACCAAATAGAAAGCAATGGATCAGTATTTTGAAGAAATAGAAGATGAGGGAGAGAGGATAGTGTGGGAAGGTAGAAGACTCACAGGAAGCATGATTGGCCGTCAAAGAGTTGTGGTTACCTGTATGGTTGGAGAGGCTTGGGAGAGGTTTTCCTGGGAAAGAGCAGAGGTGGTTCGCTGTTCTTTTCATGCTGTTGGTCTCTCACCTCCCATTGATGAGAGTGAGGATCATGAATTATCTATTAAAGGGTTAGCAAACAATTCTCTTGTAGAAGGGCTTAAAGATTGTAGGGAAGAGGAATCTGAGATAGGAGATCTCAATGTTGAGGATGATGACGATAAAGCTCCCAACTCTATAGAGGATGACAATTTTCACTATGAATGAATGCCAAGAGTCAGTGAAACCTATATTGAGTGATTGACATGCTGATCCCTTGGTGAAACATACCCTATTTTAACCGCTCAGCACACCGTCCAATTATTCCAGTTCTTACGGTACGGTACTAGTACATACGGTGCTGCACGAGCAGAGCCACAGAAACGGCAGTCTACTCATACAGTACGAGTACCGGTGCAGTACCTGTACCACTACTGAAACCGCCCAAGCACCATCAGCCAGTTACCCGCACCCCCCCCCAATCGCTTCGATCCTGTGAGCCACCCACAGCAGCGCGGTATGATACCACCACCAAAACCATCATAACCCCCATCCCCCCCCGCAATGTCCTGGAAAGCCCCCTTCCTAGCATCCCTCCATTCCCGCGACACCCGCGAAAAATCCCATGACACCTTTATCAGCGCCTACACCCGCCTCGCAAACCGCACCTCCAACCCCACCCCCGACTCAACCAACCCCCCATCTCCGGATCAGCAGCTAATAGCCGACCTCTTGGAGGCGCAGACTTCAAAGGGACTGCTGCAATCACAGCTTGCCGCCGCCCAAGCAGAGGTCGTGTTGCTGCAAGCGCAGGTCAAAGCCCTCGAGAAGATGGCCCGGGAGAAGGAAAAGTTGGAAAGGAAGAATGTGGACTTGGAGAGTGAGGGGCGAGAGAAGAGTCGGGCTATTCAGGTTTTCACCCCCCTTCCTTTTGGTGATGTCTGGACGGAGGGGAGTGGCGTAGGGCTGATTATGGCGGATGGGCAGCATTTACAGGACGAGATGCTGGCGCTGACCATGGAATTGAACGTCCTGGCAGACAAGGAGCAAGCAACAAGGAAGGAGAACGAGGACCTGATACAGCGGTGGATGGACTTTGCGGAGACTCGGGCGGAAGTTATGAATCGTGCATCTAACTGGGAATAACAATGACCGTAATCATATCAACTTACTGTATATCATTTATGCAACAGCAGCAGCAGCAGCATTCCCCTTCATTATCTCACTCCCGCCTTCACAACAGCTAAATTATTGTACAGTACAAACGTTATTGGCGGAAAACGGGCTCATAAGGGAGAAGGGTATGATTGGGGTATATTAGCACACGAGGAATGCATTAAAACAAAGCTAAACTATCGCCTTCTGCGATCAGAGCGATCGGAAGCTAGAAACTCCCGAAGCATGCTCCCGTCCACCGTCTGGACGTAATACTTTCCCCCGGTATCCGTCCAACTGACCGAGCCCGAAAAGTACTCCTTCTCCTCCACCCTCAACCGGCTGACCGGGTTTTCCGCATTGCGCGTCGTGATAACGTGGTTTGTTGGAACGAACGGCTTCAACGACAGGATTTGAGCGCCCTCCTTGAGGTCCAGGAAGAGGTTCAAGAGCCGCTGGTTGAGCTCAGAGTCAAACACGTAGTTGTTCACTAGCACTACGTCCGCTCTCTTGAGTGCCTCAGCTATTCGTGCGCTTTCCAAAAAATCACCCTTCTCCAGCCTGAACTTTCCTGGGTTAATCCCCCACATGCGACACCGTGCCGCAAATTCAACCTTTTGCTTATCCGCCAGTCTCGTCGCATTCTTCATGATTTCGCACCCGTATGCTTCGCATCCCGTCTCGAGCGCTGCGTGTAGCACAACATTCCCCGTCCCACTACCAAGGTCGACAAACACCTTGCCAGGCCCTAGACCCGATTCCCTAAACAGCTTGGTGGTGAAGTTGGGCAGAAGTTCGCCGTAAACATTGCTGGTGAAAGCTTCGTAGTCTTTTAGCGACTCAACTTCGGGCGCGACAGTCCGAGCATATGCTTGTGACAGAATATGCTCCACAAGGGGGAACGGGAGAGATTTCATCCTTGCGATGTTGGCCTTTATAGTGCCGTCCCGGCGGTATTTTGCTATCAGGTTATTGTATTTGTTAAGGTTTTCGAGAAAGTCCTGGGCTTTCTCGCTACGGATTGCCTTACGCATGTTGTAAACTATCCCGCCAGTGTTACTCGACAGAGTGCCCGTGAGTAGTTCGTCAGATTCCGGAGGTGTCAGCAGGTAGGTTGCCACATGCTCTGCTGTGCTAAGGATATCTAGATCGGGTGAAAACTCGTCAGGTTCTGCCAGGCGAACAAGCTCGTAGCTAAAAGCAGTCAGCCTCAGATTTATACCATATGGATCTGAGCTTATTATACCTCTCTAGATCTGTCACTCCCGGGTATTGAAGCTTGACCGATAATAGTTTCTGGTCAGTCTTTCGGAAAACTAAATCCCACCATCAGTGACAAATTGAGAAAACGCAGTGGTTTCGAACTCATACTCCGCGATGGACCCTTCCCTCCTTCCTTCATTTCCATATTTGCAATCACCTTCGCATGGACGAAACGACCCTCCTCGGGTTTCCGAGTGGGCGAAGCTCTGCGAAAGCTGGCCGGGTTCACCAGCTTCCTCCCGTTACCAACCACACCGTCTTCCTCGGATTTCGTCCGTTTAACAGCTCTCCTCCCCCTCTCCCCATCACTAATCCCCTCCTCCTCCTCCCTATCGTTATCATCATCACTCGACTCCAAGCGCTGAGACAACGGCGACCTCGATGACGACACAGCCCTTCTGCCCCTCGGCGAGGTCGTAGATTCCGGACTTGGCGGCTTCAACAGATCCGACGACGAGCAAGTTCTCTTGATCGACTTCTCCCCATCCACATGTTTTCTCTTGAGAGAAACGGCGGAGGAAGCCCTGCTTCGGGGTCGGGAATCCGGAACCTCCAGAGTTGCCCTTCCAGTTTTACTATATTCCCGAGACTTCTTGATTCCGTTGGCGGGGCTAGAGCGGTCGGACGGCGGTTTGGGAGCTCGGACGGTCTTGACAACGTACTTTTCCTGAGCGATGGGTTTTACGCCTGGCAAACTGAACTGGGAGAAGAAACTCATCGTGTCAAGACCCCCAGCCCACACCGTCCGAACAAGAGCAGAACAGTAACGAAGACGTTGCTTAGGCAGTCGAGTCCGATTAGTAGATATAAGGTGGTAGGAGCAGGAACCACCAGGGCGAGAAAACCTCAACCCAATCCAGCCCCAGATTTCAAACTTCCAAGACGAAACGGTGCCTCTAAGCCTCGAAGAAGCAAAGGTTGATGAGGAGTTAGATGTCGAGACGGAGGGGCTTTGCTGTAAATGGTCCAGAGCCTCCAGGGTGTTCTCGAAGGAGATTTTTCTTTAGATCAGGGGAATACCGGTATCTCAAGGAGCGAAAAGTGATGAGATGAGGATGATCAGATTCTCCCTTTTTTTCTTTTTTTTTTCACTCCTGGGCAAATACTGTAGTAGGAACACGGTATGATACTGTACGACACAAACAAAGAAAAAAGTATTTGTTTCAGGTTGATTCGAATTACCACAGAATAAAGTGTAGTTCAACAAAAAAAAGAAAGGAGGGAGGAGGACTGCAGTTTAAGGATAAAGGGGATGGAGGGAACAATTGAAATGGAAGAAAAATGTGCCGTAGTGACAGGGTGGAAGAAGGAATGGAAGAAAGACTCAGTAGAAGCTTCGTGCGCGTGTGGATTTCCTTTGGGTGTCCGTTATTCTTCCCCTGTCATGGAAGCAGATGCAAGGGTTGTCGGTGCCAACCGCGCATGTTTGGCGCCGGGGTAAACTCTTCTTTTTCCTTCCCATTCCCTTCACAGCACAAACCGTACATTACTAAACAGAAATCTACCTCGATATGATACTTGTACTGGAGTCGCGCGTAATTGAAGGAGTGGGCAGAAGTGGTCAGCAGGTCCCGCGGAGCAGTGGGCGGGCAGTCGGTGGAAATGGAAAGTAGTCTAGTGAATTCTGGTGGATACAGACAACCTGGAGTGGATACAAACCACCGCACATCGTCCCATCAGTAACAAGATATCCCAAGCTAGGAGCTGTTGGCTGATGGCTAGAAGTTGGCCTCAGTACAGAAAGGCTCTATTGATTGATTAAGGCTCCTATAAGCCCTCCAGGATCACTAAAATTCGAGTTTTCAAGAAGAGTAGACCCAGTGCAACTAGTCCGGGTTTCTGGTTTCTATAAGTAGCATTTATTTATTTATTTATTTATTCCACACCCTAGATCTATTAAGCGACACACTCCCCCTACTTCACACAAAATTTTCCGATTTTTTCAACACCGCTCGAGTGAAGGGGAAAAAAAGAAACGGGATGAATTCAGGCTGGGAGTGCTTGCTGCTTGCTCGTGACAAACTTGAAGTACCGGTAACATATTGTTTCATGCCGATGTCTAATCGGTAAAGTACCACGGGTACAGCGCCAGCACAACCTCTTCCCACAAAATGGAGCCCCCCCCCCCCAGGCATACAGATCACTTCACCATTCATTGGCCCATCCCTGGAAGGTTCTGCGGCCTCAAAGCTCAGCGGTAACTTGGTTCAAAGAATTTTGTATGCGGTAAGCCAGCGCTCGTTCCGTCCCCCCCTCTCACTCACCATACTCGCACAGAAGCGTTGTGCTCGACGGCAACTTCGACCGATAGTCTACCGGTACCATGCAGGACTCGAAGCCCCAGCTGCGACAGGTTCAGGAACATGCTCACATGACCCAGCAGATACCAATCAATTTGTTGCTAGGCTGAATGGCGAAAGGATGTGCCCACCGGGCAATCAGTAGGATTGGTTCACATCATGGCAAACACCCGGTCCCCCGCCCTTCTGGGTGCCTGCATTCTTGACTCTTGCCCTGAGCCCTGGCTGCCGGAACTATCGAACCCTCTCACGTGACTGACTTCGCCAATGATTGCATTCCCAGCGAGTGATGGAGAGCTGAAAAAGTGGATTGATTTCACGGCAGACGTGTGGAAGCACCGGTGCGGGTACAGTACACGGAGGGAGCGGTTCATGATGTGTGCCTAGGCTGACCCCAGCTTTTCGATTCGCTCCATGCAAATGCAAATACTGCTATTCGTAGGATAGTAAGCACGTATACCGTACCAGATCCTCCTACTGTAGTCGCTCATGCTTGCCAGACCACTGGAACTGGCTGTGCAGGTCGGTCACCCTCCCAGAGTACTGGTATCTTGTTGACCCATTTCTTTCCAACCATTTCTACCGCCCACAAGCGCTTCCGAAATAAAATCTCGATACCCTACCGTAACCGATGATTTGCAAGGTATCCGGCCGTGCCTAAGCGACCTGCTAGCTCCCCTACCGGTAGTCCTCCAAGACTCACCCCATTTCGAGGTGGGGTTAAACAGCCATGCCTAGGCTTCCAAGCAACTCCCATTACGTGACGCATCTACTAACGTCCATAGTTTCGCTCGATACAATTAACCTACCGGTACTTGTATGTCAAATCCCTCAGCACTGCCCGTGCCTCCAGGGCCCTAGAGAGGACAAGACTCCAAAATTATCCCCCATGCTCCTAAGCTACCGACCCCAGCGAAAAAGAGGGAAAGGGAAACAAAGTCGAAATTGTTCAACTGGTTCCTAGCATGGGGCAGGGGTGGAACTGACCGCTCCTTGCATCCGCAGGAGGTTTCTGGATCTCGCCTTGGGGCAGATACGTACCGTAGTCACCATTAAATATAGGTAAGATAGGAGGCTATAGTGTGGACAGTTCACCTCCATAAGGTAGTAAACACTGACGATGTGCCTTTTGTTTTTCCCCTCTCAGGCCGTCAAACCCCCTTGACCGTGGAGCCCTGTCTCCACCCCCGGATCAGGTTGATTTGGGAAGCATGGCCCGGCATAATATAGGATGAGGTTAGTTTGCTGCCCATGGCTGTTGGGTATCTTGCCTGTACTGTATTGCCGACTTTCCTCTCGCGTGATGGGGCTTCCGTGGTAGCGAGTAATACCGGTTGTCCCACTCGGTATAGTAGTATCCTAGTGGGTGTCGGCCCAGGATATCGCACATGAGTGGTCTCCACAGCCAAGTACCGGTAGGCAGCCTACGAGGAAATCCGCCCACCCCTCAGCCAAGAACAAAAGAAGAAAAAAGTAGCACTGGTTGTTTTCTAAAGCCCAGCACCTCCTAGCCCTCACTCATTCGGGACCGGCCTTCCACTGGGGTCGCAAGGATCTTATGATGGAGTGATGGGAGAAAGTGGATGGGGGAAATACCGGTAAAGCGAACATAATTCCGAAATCTACACCCAAGCTGATTGACAGAATCAGTGAGTAGAGGAATAACACTTGCTGGGATCCTTGTGCATGGATTGGGGTACTCGAGTACTAGTACGGTACAGTACTGTACTCGTACCTGTATGTCCGACGCCCCATCTGTCCTGCGATACCCAGACAGGACCTACAACCCGGTAAAACCAACGATAAGGCCAACCTTAGATACCCTGCTCATGAAGGTAGCTGAAAGCATCACTTTGCATTAGTACTTGTATCTACTGTAGGATATATCGCTCGATATTGCGTACTGTACTCGTACCTGGTACACCCTCCCGCCCCCAGAAGCCAACATCCATTCACTTGTACACTACCACGCCAAGGGGGCGCTAAGTCCGAGAAGCATAGAAACCAATCCAAGCCCGGATCACCCAACACACCCCAGTTAATGTCACCGGCTCATCAGACCAGCAAGCCTGGACCTGGTATTCCGGGCGAGAGCACCGGGACAGCGCGAACCGGAGATACCCCAATCCAACCGACCCTGCGGGTGACAGGCCTTGCTCACTATCCACGATGCTCCCAGCCAGCTGAATGTCGGGGGCCAACGAGTTCATGTCCTACTGGTGGATGCCTGAAAACCTTACGTGGCAATAAACCTGTCGTGGGGTATACCAAACGGTGGGTTAATGAAACAAATGATTCCCCGCGAACATGGAACACACAAGGGAAAAAAATAAATAAAAAGGAACAGAGCAAAACCAGGCATTGGCCAACAGAGTGCACCGGCAGGGAAGAACCAGCGTCCAAGAGCCTTAGTACTGAGTCAGTAGCGAGTGAGACCTGATGACGATTTGTGGTAATGAGGTAAGGTCGGCAGGGTATCATACGAAGACGAGACATGGAAGCATATCGTACGTCTTTCTCACCAAACCTACCGATATTCCCTAAACAAGTACTTGCCCGTGTGTTACCACACTGGCTTATAACACACAATATGTTAAAGCCAGCTTCTTAAATTAAATATTCTGAAATTACTATCATAAAGTATATAATTTTTCTATCATAAAGCTTTAACAAATATGCCATTGATAATTGAAATTTAAAATACTATTGACTATAAAGTAAGGAACAGATGAGTAGAAAAATAGATGACAATTTCATTCAGTCAACAAAAACCTCAGAATATACAACATTTTTACATGAATGCAATTCTTGTGCTCTTATTCCACCTCCCATTGAAGTTAATATCATTACTTGTTTACCACAAGTAGCCCTAGACAAAGCAGCATATAATTGCCTATAACTGAAAACCTCTTCTCTTAAGTCAATTCCAACATACTTTAGCAATTGTCCTTGAGCTTTATTTATTGTCATAGCATATGCTAGCCAAACTGGAAACTGTAATCTTGTTAAAGCAACTGAAAGCTCTTGTGTAGGTTGACATATTATCTGTATCTGTGGTAGAAGAACTTGTGTTTCTTTCTTTGATCCTGTCATTATAACTCCTATTATATAAATATATATGTACTTATTAATATTAATTACTTAATTATACTCAGTATAGGATATAAATTCTCTTTCAGGTGTATAAATTGGATATTACATACCTTGAATCAGATTCTTAAAAAGCCTAGTTACCAGCAGCCATGTACCATTACACAAACCTTGTCCCGGATTAAGATTTCTTAGTAGCATAATTGGTACACCAACTTTAAGAGTTAACTTATGAGGAGGGAGGCCAGGAGAATTTAAGATATTTAAATACTCTGGAGTATATATGGTCTGATCCTCATCAGAAATACTATCAGCACTTAGATATGTCTGAAGGGTGTTGGAATTAGCTTGACTAATTAATATAGCCATATTTATTGAATCAACTTCTGCATTCCGTAGTGCTAAGATAGCACGTTCAGTAAAAAACTCAATTATTACTTGATCTATAGGCCATGTATTAGCAATCATCAAAGGATAGATCTCTACCATTAGACTTTGTAAAGAATTAACTGCAAGTATCATTTTTGGCCTCAACTTAAGTTGTCCTTTATCTCCTATATTAAAGATAGTATCTGTTGTATCTGTACCAACTTTCAGAAGCCAGGATGCAAACTCTTGTTGATTTTCTCTTAATTCAGATATAAGATTTGGATGAAGAAGTATAACATTTTGATCCAATTGCAGAAGATGTATATTGGACCATATCTGATATCTTTTAAGAGTAGAATTGACAATTTGAGACCTTGAACCTCCTGGTACAACAGATAAACATTGCCTAAAGTCTCCACCAAATAGTGTTGTGATACTACTAAAAGGTTGTGTATCTTTATGAATATCAGACAGCATACATGATCCAGCATCAAATACATTCTTGTGCTGTATTGTTGCTTCATCCCAGATTATGAGGTCTGTCTTAGAGAATACTTCTGCTGCTACTAAACTATGGTTGATAGAGCATATACTTTTATTGTCTAAAACCAAGGAGATTTTGAAGGTAGAATGAGCAGTTCATCCTCCATTAAGCAAAATAGTAGCAATTCCACTTGATGCTACTGCTAAGGCAATTTTTCCAGTACTATGTATTTTTACTAGAAGTAGATTTTCTAGAAAGGCTTCTCCAGTCCCTCCAGGACCATCTAGA